TGAGAATGGAGTTGGGAGGTCTATGATCAAGACTGGATACTCTCTGGAGGTCCTTATCTAATTATAACAGTCCTGGTGATGCTAGTCTACCTTAGACAAAGTTATTTTTCCTCTCTAGCCATTAGCATATCATGTGTAAAATGCAATGAGTATGAGAATACATTAAGAGAAAGAATCACCATACCAATACAAATTATTATTGATTTTGAAGGGTCTTTCTGGAGATCTTGAACTTTTGTGATTAAATCATTATTGCAAATGAAAACTGGCTGAAGATCCCTCTTTTCATACTGAGTCATTCATGATTCACATGAACTTTGGCAATACTCCTTAGTACTGGGCATGACACATTTAAGGACAAATCTATCTTTCAACACAGGCCTATAAAGAAAAGACAACGGAAATAGGACTCTGCCCACACCTGGATGCTCTCTTTGGTATCATAATTATTCCTGGGTAGTTGCCCTCTCTTTCAGAGAGCTGACACTTCTTTGAATATTACTGTACCATGATGTTGCTGAAAACAGTGCATTCAATTTGAGTTATCATCCAGTTGGCCTTGTTGCCTCATGGTGTTTTCCACTTAAGTGGAGGTATTTGATGAAAGAGTTGGTATTTCTGCTTCTACAAATCCAGATGGCTCTCAAACCAGGAGGCAGTTGGCATCTTTGGGAAAAGAACTTGGCGTTGTGATTTTACACGGATTTTAACAATCTTCTACTCTTTTTCTTTAGAGTACCATCTGAATAAATGGATTTGCTGCCATCATAGACAATTTGTGCAGCTACAGCATCACCAAGAAAACACTTTCATGGGGAAAAGGTAAAATTTAAGAGGAAACACACTCTGAAGAATTCTGAGCTCATCTTATAAAAGCTACAAAACACCCATATCCACAAAAAAAGATTATGTGGTCAAATATGGCAGTAATGTCTAATCCTGATTATTGGCCTACTTCATAGTTGAGGCAGGACACTTAAACTCTGCCTATCAGTTTCCCTTGGGCACTTAAGAAATCTCAGCGGTAATAAGACAAGGATTCCATTAGGGCCAGGTATTTTTTTTTTTCCACAAGTACCCAAATTTTATTTGTGCCTGCTCTAAGGGTGTAATCTCACAAATGTCTGAGTAGTCTTTAGGGACAAGTGAAGCTGTCAGTTGGTCAACATCAGCTACAAAGGCACAGTTTTGTCCAAAGCTCTACCCTGAAAACGACAAGAAAATAATAGAGACATAGAGAAAAGGCATAGAGAAAGCAATTATTCAATCAAATATGTGATCAAGCAACAAATATTTCTTGAGCATCTATTTTGTGTAAGACATCATATCTCTGATAAGAGAGTTAGGGGCCCTTACAAAAGGGGAGCTGTAACTGAGTTGAAAAGCTAAGACATATATGTACAAAATCATAAGCAATAGTTCAAGGTGGTCCACAATCAGTGTCAAGTGATTCCTATGAATTTAATGGCCAATATATTTCAGAGCTACAAGAGAACATTTCTAATTAAGATGATCCAAAAGGCTTCTTAGAGAGGGTAGGACTTGTACCAGGCACTGTCAGTTGAATAAGATTTTGACAAGTGAAATGCTGGGAAAGGGAAATGAATGTTATGACAAGGTGGTGAGGTAGGTAAGCACAGTGTCTTCAGAGAAAGGTAGTGGATCAGCGTGGCTGAAATAGAAGACTTGTTTGGGGAAGCAGCAGAAAGCTGGAAAGAGGAAACATGAGATCTGAGTTTGAAGGAATCCTCAAGATTATCACATTCAAGGCCTGCTCCTCTTATTCTTACCTATTTATTTTCACGCAAACACAGCTTTCCCTAGTCTGCCGCCAATGTTTAACATACATTTTAGTAGTGGTTCTAGATTCCTAATAACTAAAGACACAGTAACTACACCACAGTAGTTAGAAATAGACTTTGGAGTTGGAGGCCTGGCTAAACCACTTGTTAGACATTCAACTTTGGGTAGGTTTATCCTTTATTTCTTCATCTCGAAATGTGGATAATAGTTTACTCAAAGTCGAGGGTTGAAGAAAATGAGAAAGAAGGGTTGAAGGAGACAGAAAAGGAAAAAGAATCTGCAAAGTGTATTACCAAGGAAAGCAAAAGTAGAGAAAATTCAAAGAAGGGAGCATTGTTAATAGCATCAAATGAAACAGAGTTCAAGGTGATTGCGACCTGCCAAAAGGCTACTGACTGACAATCTGAAGGTCACATGTGACTTTTAAGAAATCAGTTTTAGTACAAAAGGAAAGAGACAGTTTGTAGAAAATGGGAGAGGTGAGGAGGGATAGGAAAGGAAGGAAAAAAATGTGTAGCGTGGAACTGGAGCTGCAAGGAAATATCCCTCCCTCATTTGCAGTGAAGGAGAGGGAGAGAGATGGCTTTAACTCAGTGGAGTTACAGGGCCGAGTGATGCAATGACTGGACATGTAGTTTGGAAATAAAACCGTTGTTAGCTCCTTTGAGAACTTCCAACCCTATCTTTCCTCCGCCACCGTGCAGGCAATAACAAAGGAAGAAGGAAGTTGCTGCTCATGAAACATCTTCCCTCTTCCTTTTGTCTAGTACTGCAGAGGAAGAAAATAACATTATAAAGCTATCTGCCTATTTACAATATCACAAGATTGCTGCTGAACAATTATAAGAGACTCCTTGTATAGTAAAATCTCATTAATTTGGACTACACTAATTTAGAATTTGTGGTAATTTAACCTGGGTTGAAGTCACCTTTGTCCTGCTAACAAAGAAAAGGTTCTCTAAGCAAATAGTGTGAACAAGATTTCAAGGGAGCTAATTTAGCCTGCCAAGGGCTTATTTAACCTATTTTAAAGAACATACTGTTTTTTAAGAACTTCAGCATATTCATTATTTGAATGCAAATTGTTCTGCTAATTATAGATTAGCATAATCTACTGTTAAAATCCTATATCTGCAAGTTACTTTGCTCTGACTGAATATGCTCATTAGAAATAAAACTGCAATTCTTTAAAGTTAATTCCCAACGCAGATTAATACATACTCCCTTTCCCCACCCTCATGAGTTAACTGCAGTTCAGGAGGTATTACCCTAAACTTGCACATCACTTAACATGAATATAATGGAAAAGCTAGTAGGTGATCATAAAGGTCTCAGAGCTAAAAGAGATGTCTTAAAGTTGATGCCCTAAATCCTGTGCACTCTATCCGTGGCAGGTTCCACTTAGAGCTGATTTAACTTTTACTTGTACTAATCTGACACATTAGCTTGGAGAGCTGGCTGGATTTTTAAGTTCCTAATTCAGTAGAAGGAGAAAAAGGGCTGCTATATGAAGGGACATGGAGAGGAATAAAAAGTGACTGTAGGCTGCAGGAAGGAGGCAAGGCATGTGTAAAATGTAGATATAATAACTAAAAGACCACCACAGTCTAGAACAATTTAGTGTAGAGGTAAAAAACCTATACTGTTTAGTAAACTCTTACAAATTTAAGAGTATTAGAATGCAGTACAATAATTTATTACTGGAATTATGCCCATAAATAATTAAGCAAAGTTTAAATTATGTCAAATACATGCCTTTAAAAGACAGATGAGTTTATAAATATACACACATATGATTTATACTCATAATGCTCAACCTAAAAATGTGAAATACATTGATGATTTAAAATATGAAATTTATTACATCATACTAAGAAAACAATAGCAACATTTACTAAGTGATTATGGTATGCAGACACCAGGCTAAGTGCTTTACCCACATCATTTCAACTAATTGTCATAACAAATCCTGAGACACAGGCTTTGGTATCACTTTTGCTCTACAGTTGACGAAAGTGAAACTCAGAGAGGTTAAGCAAGTATCTCCAGGCCACAGAAAGAGATAAAACCATGATTAGCACGCAGGCCAGTTCCTCGGCTATACATCATGCCTTTCCATGCTCCAGAAAACAAAGGTGTGTAACAATAACTCATTTCTTGAGGGCTCCATATAACTAATGTTTTATTGTATTTTCATTTTCCAAACTGATATTTAACAAATATCTTGATTTATAAGCAGAGATCTATGATCTAAGAGTCAGTATGGGATGTTTGCAAACATGCTCCATTTCATAAGCTGAAAGTAAAAATAGTAAAAAAACAAAACAAACAAAAAAACGATGAACACGTCTGTTAGGCCCATCCCCAAATCTCAGATCAGTTTCCATACATTACAGATTCTACCTCCAAATGAATAACCATGCAACAAAGAGATAAAATTATAAAATATCAAATGATCAGTTAAGATATGGCCTCCTATTATTTCTTTACTCCTTTTGGAAAAAAAAAATTAAGATGAGAATAGGCTAATGGGACATGAGGGATTGGGGTAGGAGAAATTGCAAGGGAGGCTAGAAATTCAGTTGGGCTCTTACAGAAGGTTTAGAAGAATTTGTTTGCCAACTGTTCTGAGAGAATTGTAAGGGCATAAAGCATGTAGGCATAGTGTGTATTGAGGGGAATGGGGTGAAGGTGGGGAGATGCAAATATATGTAGTTATCTGTATTAGAAGTAAAAGAGAGGATGGCCTGCCGCTTATACACACCAAGACAAATGCACAGTGAAGCCATTCACTCATGCAATTCCTTCTACCTAAATCGATACTCTTTACTCATCTCTTGTCTGAAGCCTACCTATTCTTCAAGAATCAGCTAAAAAAGGCACATCTGCCATGAAGTGTTCTATGATCCCTAAGGCGGAATTAAACTCTTCTTCATTTGTACTCTCGTCAGTTTTTTGCCCTTAACACATTTACCACAGCGCTGATGATACTCTATCTAATTATCAGAGTGATTCGTATATGTGCTTTTTCCCTCCTTCAATCCCATAATGAGTTCTATGAGGACAGGGGAACTCTTTCTCATTTCTGCAGTTCTTACAATACGTCCTAGCACAGTATGTGACCTGCCACATACTAGGCTCTGGGAAAATGTTAACTCTGGCACTGACTTAAGACAGTGCATTATCACCTAGCTTACCTGAAGGAGTATTTGTTCTCTTTCTTTTCTTGCTTGATTCCCCTCCATTCTCAATGAGGCCTTCTGTGACCAGAGGGCCACTGGCACTACCAAACTGCAGGGGCTCGTTGTTGTTGGCAGGGTCAAAGGGCAGCTGGTTCAATCCTAAAGAAGAAAAAGAAAGCCAAAGTCCAGACTCCATTAAGGACTGGGATCATCTCCAGATTTTATTATGTGAGCCACTAGTGGAAAACCTTTTAAATCTTAAGAGCCTAGAAATAACGAGTGAATTCCTTAAAGACAGTTGTCTTCCGTAATTTTTACAAATCCTTTTGGTAAGTACAGAATTAAAATGTAAGACAGTGGCTCTGTCATTTGTAAGATCCCTCCTGTTTCTGTGGCAACTTAACATTTTTTGGGCATAAGCTAGCAACTGCCTTCTACTTCCTTCCTTAAGGAGATAGGACCCTCATTAAATGTGGCTATGGTTGGACCCACTGATCCTTGTAAAAAGCTTTGCTTTGTATTCCTTGGATTATCTCCTGACATTTTTCCATTCTTTCATTAAAAAGTATGTTGAACTGAGGCAGACATAATCATGAGACTATCCTGTGTCAAAGTCACTTCCAACAGTAATATAGAGGTTTCTAAAAAAAAAGAAAACCATAACTCTACGGCAAATGAGAAAAGGAAACAAATATATAGACATTGCAAGGGGTTATTTAGCAGCTGGAGTGATGGGGAGTTATGATCTAGGTTTTGGTAATGTTGATCTCATTCACTTCAAATAGTATTAGAAGCATGGTCACTTTACTTGTCACTGCTGCACCATATAAAATGGCAAAAGGCATTTTCTACTCTCCAAGTCTTACACGGTTCAGCAGGGGCGAGCAGAGACAGTTCCTACTCCTCTGGCAGTAGCACCTGGAATTTTAAGTGTTTCAATTAAAACTTCATGAAATGTGAAGTCAAAAGTTTTTTAAAGCTCAAAGTTAAGACATCTCCTGTAAGCCTTTCTCCACTGGTTCTATCCTATCAAACAGGGGATTCCTATCAAAGGGGGGAAATCAGGTTGGCCTGATATACCTCATTATTTAACTCCCAAATTTTCTATGGCCCATAGCTGTACAATTCTTGAGGTAATGTTGGAAATTGTCAATTAAAAAAAAACCTCGAAATCCAGTCAGCTATAGGTCAATCAAATTTCAACAAAATGAATGCTAAGATTCTAATAAAATGACATTAAATTATTATTTCTAATAAAGAGTATCATCTTGCTAATGTTTTCAGTCCACATAACAAGTACTGTTTTTCAGCAATCAGACTCCATTTGGATCACTTCCATTAAATGTCTTCTGGGACTTGTCAAACATTCTCTCTTACATCATGTGAGAAACTGCAGTGAAATAATTAAACTTGCTTCTGTATCTTAAGCCAACTGTTCACTGCATCATATACATGTCCTATTAAATCCCTACGATGATTAGAACTAAAGAAGCAAACATCAATTGCTATGTACTAAAAAAATTGAGGTCATGACCAAGACTATTTAAAAAGAAGACTAGATAATTATTCTATTTACAAATGAAGATTGTTCTTGGACCTGATTAGTCCCAGAGTCAAATATGATTAATATACTAGTCCAAAACTTTTCCTGGAAATTCTTTCTGCAATATACTGATCCAAACAAGTTCCCTGGAAGATAGAATGGCATAGCAGAAAGATCTGGACAAACTAGGATTCAAATCCTGGTTATCCTTTACTAGTTGATAGCTTTTGGCAAGTCATGTAGTCTCTCTTAGTTTTGGTTTCATAATGTGTGTAGAAGAGTGATAACATGCCTAAGGCTGTGGCAAAAATAAACAAATACATGTTTATGAGAATGACATTATTCTGAGTGAATTAAAACAAACTTTTCCCCTATAAACTTGAAAGCTTTTCTAAAAAGGAAACCTCTCTCTCTCTCCCTCCCACAATTGTATTCTTGGTGCCTAGCACCATACCTTGAGTGCCGAATGAATGAATTAATCCTTAATTGAATGGGGGTAGATGACTCATTCTTTTAACTCCTGTAATTAGGGTAAAGACTTGACAGCTGATAATCAAGAATTAATGCCATAAACTAAAAGTTCTGATGCTGATTATATCAACATTACTTAAAATAATTAGATTCTAAATGCATCTCCATCATTTGATTTACTATATTGCAGAATGATGAAATGTTGATTAAAAGGAATACTCAGGGATTAGGAGGTTCTGATTAATGATGGTTAATCAGAAAAACTTTTTATTTTGTTTTGCATTTGATCATTTTACAGAATAATATATTAGTCCATTTGTCTGCCTTATTAAGTAGATGACTATGGATTTTACAGTTTCAGAGCCACAATTTGCAAAAGGATGTTAATAAGTGCACCTAACTCATAAGACTGCTAAAAATATTAAATGAGATTATATATGTAGAAGATTCAGCATAACATTTGGCATATAGTAGATGTTCAATAAGTATTAACTATTACTATTACAATATTGAATTTCCATTTTTAATTTCTAGAATTACTGATATGTAATGTGAGGAGATTGTTCTGCATCTGCCCTGATCCAAAGATGTACCCTACTTTTCTCATTGAACCTTTTCATTCCTGTTTGCACCTTTTTCTAAAAGTTGAAGGAATCCAGGGGAGAAAAATCTAATGAGTTAAAGGTGTTCAGCCATAGACATTTTATTATAATTATGCTTTCCCTTTATTTAGAACCATAGGGGTACTTAGGGATTTAGGTATTTTATTAATCACACAAATGTACAGATTTTTGTCACCATATAAGACTGAGATTTCAAGTATGTTCTGTGTATCCACCTCATATATAATCCAGATATGTGAAAATTCTGACAATTCAGTACAAAATTTCAGGCCTTATTTTTTTACGGAGAAAGATCTTATATGGAGGAGGGACATCTTACTCAGTAAGCTGACTCACTGAACACAAACCCACATTTTTTTTTTTTTTTTTTGAGACGGAGTTTCGCTCTTGTTACCCAGGCTAGAGTGCAATGGCGCAATCTCAACTCGGCGCAATCTCAACTCACCGCAACCTCCGCCCCCTGGGTTCAGGCAATTCTCCTGTCTCAGCCTCTTGAGTAGCTGGGATTACAGGCACGCGCCACCATGCCCAGCTAATTTTTTGTAATTTCTTTTAGTAGAGACGGGGTTTCACCATGTTGACCAGGATGGTCTCAATCTGTTGACCTCGTGATCCACCCGCCTCGGCCTCCCAAAGTGCTGGAATTACAGGCTTGAGCCACCGCGCCCGGCCTATTTTATATCATCCAATACCCAATACAGTCTCCAAAGATTTGTAGTTCAAGAGCAGGGATGATAGAAACAGCAAAATCCTATGACACCAGTGCTTCCTAACTACTTTTACTGTTTTGTTTCATTTCTTCCATAAGACAGGACCAAATAAACCAGTAAATCAGTAAATCAATAGGTATTTAAAGGTTCTTTTGTGTGTCATGTATATATGACCCAGGTCAAATGCTATTTTACTTAAACTAGCCCCATTAAAATGATTAAATACTAAAAAAGAAAACCACCACTTTAATTCCAAGAACTCTTATTGCTGAAATTTCAATTATAACATAAATGGAAAAATACTGGCAACTACCATATTATAATTTTCACCCAAACTACAGAATTCATCTTTAAATCTCTTATGGAAGCAATTTCTACCATTTTTTTTAGATATAATGAAACTGAAAAATATTAGATTTGGAATAAAGTTTTGAGGTTATCTAGTTTATTCTTCTATAACACAGAAATTTTATCTATAGAATTTCTGACAGGCCTAAATCCAGGGGCACTTCTTAGCATGGGACCCATTCCTTGCTGGGCTCCTAGGCATTCAACTTTCCTTCCTTACTTTTTAAAAACTATCACCTACTCTATTTTGGGAGATCCTCTTATTTCCCTAAAGCTGCTTCTTGCTTCTCTTAGCTAAAATGAAGACATAGGATGTCTAACTTTTTAAGGTTTCTACTGATAATCACTGTAAGAAAAACAAATGAGAGAGAGTAACAGATAACTAACAAAGTCAGAAATCGTCCAAAGTCTTATGCATTCCTCACAGTCTTTGCCCTTTTATTCCTGAGGATAAACTTAATAACACCTTGTACTTCATTCGTTTCTCTCACATCTTGTCTCCTCATCCCTTCAGCCCACAAAATGTACAGTTTGTCCAAAGGGAAACACAATTGTTAAAATAAAAACAAATAGATAATAAACATTGGTGTTACAGATTTTTACTATTTCTGTATCTTATGTTCACAATAAAGAAATTCATGTGGTAACGTAATCTCATCTAAAACCAAGTGGACTGGTGCAGACAGCTGACCAGCTGTTATTTCATGTCATGTTGAAATACAGATTATCTGACTCCATAACACATATGAGGAGGCTTTAGAAAGTATGTATATTGGGAAACCGTAGGGGTGAGGTTCCTTGGAGAATGACATTTCTCATCTAATGGAACTAGGGGGTTAAACATCTCAGAATGAAGTGTGATTCTCAGTGAATACTCCAATCTGCAGGTCAAGGAGTTCACACGCAATGATGTCTGCCATATTGATGCAAATGATTCGTGGGCTTTGAGGAAAGCACTAAAGAATTTTCATGATTCTTGTGTGAGAAGATCAATAATCTCTTTGTGCCCAGCTGCTGTAACAGTTACTGTCACAATTCACTTTACATAGCTGTCCACTATCAGGTCAAATTAGGACCAACTTTCACGGTGCAATCTAACACTTTTAATGATTGGCCCAGGTTGTAATACCAAAATGTGACCCTGTGAGTGCATGCCACTTTTTATCTGCAGATGTGGCTCAAAGACTGTATATCCCTAGCGAAAAGAAATACAATTCCACCCTGGATTAGTTCACTTTAAAAGAAAATGGCTAAAGACTTGAGAAATCTGATAAATTCGAATTAAGGCAACAATCTCAAGACAGAAATTAATGTTGAAAAATAAATAACAGTACATGGCAATAAGAACAGTCTAGCTAATTTGTCTATAAAACAAATTTCTATAACTTAAGTCTTATTTCCCAAATGACGTCAGTTTAAAATCGGATATGGGACTCCATCTTGGGAGATGAGGGTCTCCAAATC